AGGATGTTTCCTACCCACTGTATTTTTCCACAGTGCATTTTGTTGGAACTAAGTCCCTGAGTTCAGGGGTTGCTTGGGCAAAGAGGGTTATTCCTAACATAGCAGGACTGTGTGGGTGGAGGTGGCTCTAGGTCTCCCTGTGTTTATGTGACATTTGGAGCCTCTGGCTGCTTTAAGCCTCCTTTGCCCCTGGGAAGTGAGAGAGTTGTTTGCCACCTTCCCAGCAGATTTGCCAAAGTTTCTTTTGCGATCCAGTGTGCAGCTCAGTTCTTGAGAAAGGGCTGTCAATACTTGCTCATATATAAGAAATACCTCCGTGTATCTGTAAATGCAGAAGAGAAGTGATGAGCTGGGGGGACACAGTCCCCAGGACGCACGGACAGAGCAGGGAGCAGGCACCGTGTGCTGGCAGCGAGAGGAGGACAGGGTGCTGGGAGCCAGAGCTGCAGGGGTTAGGGAGTGATCTGGTCCTCATCAAACCTGCCTCACACCCCCCAAACCTTCAGTCCCCAACTGTCCCTCCTCCTTCCTGAGAAACAGCCTTGTGCTGTAGGACCTGTGGATGGAGATATCCCAAAAAGGGAAAGCTAGGATCCTCTAGGAATTCCCATCAACGTGCCAAATACAAAATACTGAAACAACCCCCTCTCGGCAACAGACTAAATATGGTGTATACCCAAAGGATCAGAGCACAGGCCTGAGTGAAATTATTTCTTTTGACATCAACAGCTCTGTCTTCTCTGGAAAATAAACCCTCCTGGGGAAGATGGATGGGATTCATATTGGTCTCATCATCCTAAAAAAATACCTATGAGGGGAGGCTAGGCTGAAAACTTCTGCTGTCATTGGGTCGGGAAATTGCAGGTGTGATGGACTGTAGCCCTTTCTTCTAGTTCTGGCCAATGGTGAAAAAATCTGGACAAAGAGGAGGGAGGGAAAGACCCCTGGGGTTTCTGCTCCGCAACATTTCAGAAATATCAGATGCAGGGTCAAGTTTGGGCCTCAGCTGGAGAAGACTTGGAGAAGATTTGCCAGGGCAGTGACACAGTCCCAGAGGTTACAGACTGTCCTGCAGAGGGAGGGTTGGGGTCTGCAGTGGTGTGGGGCTGCCACGGAGCCGTGCAGAGCCTCCCAGGACCCAGCAGCGCCTTATCAGACCTGTGCATGTGCGACTTCGTTGGAGCAAAGCCAGGCAAATGATCACCACGAGATAAATCCAAGAAACTTGTCCTTGTTAGCAGAAAGTTCCTCACAGGGCAGGGTAGTTCACCCTATTTTACTTTTTTCCCCCTGCAGTTTCTTGATTGCAGACTTGGCTTTTAATTAGAAACACAATGAAATGCAAGGGAATCCTCTGAAAAGTATGATCATTTTAACATTCATCAAAGTTATCCTAAGAAGTTCCTTTTAAACACATGCAGCTGTTTCACAAAACCAGACACATTATAATAGTAGCTTAAAAAGGAGTGGAAATTATTCTGGCTGGTCTGCAAACCACTGCACACGCAGGCTTGCTGCCTGAGGAGGGAGTTTAACAGCAGCAGCGCTGGAGGGTGATATATGATGTGACATTAAACGGAGCTGGAAAGTCCAAAAAAATATTACTGCTGGGACTGAAAGAGTTGCACTCTCAAGCCATGTGGGGTAGGAACTGATAAATGTAAGCATGGCTTCCAACCTTTACTTAAAAGCTAATGTAAGAATATACTAATCCGACAGCCTGGTTGGGGGTTCCTGAAAGTTGTGGTGTTTGTTTTAAATCAAAGTCACCTCAAAATGAAAGCTGTGGATTCCCAGTGGATGATGAGTTTGTGACAAAAAAATAAGCTTTGTTTAAACCCCCTTGATTTGTTAATTTATTTGTTTTAATTCCTTTTCTACGGAAAAAAAAAGTATTGAGCAGCCTACCCTTAAATATGTCCTTACTGAATATGCACTGTAAATATTGCCCTTGGGGAAAAGAAAGAGCACCCAAGAATCAAAGAAGTGAACTCTGAGATGCCTTACCATGGTGTAACCTGAACACAAGAGAGGGGAAAAAAGAAAAGCACAGATGGTGGTGTTAGTTTGTTAAATAGAGAATCAGGTAAGCAATTTTTGTTTCGTTTAAAAATGTTTTTGCTTGAGTTTCACCAACCATGTTTCTCTTAGATGACAAATGTAATTAGAACAGGTAATTGTACAGGTGGATTACTGCCTGCGTCAAGCTGTGCCCTTGCAACAGGAGGGACAGTCTGTGTCCAAGCCAGGACAATCAGTCTTGAGGACAGTCTGATGAAGGAAAATACCAACAGCTTGATGTTTGTGCTTAACGCTTGCTGCAGGTGGTCAGGGGAAGAAGTCTGTGAAGTGCACAGAGCAGGTCTGAATCAGCTACTGCTGAAAGGGTGTCTTTGCAAGTGTGAACAAACCTCTTGGGGTTTCTTTTCCTAAAGGTGATTACCCAAGCATAATCACTCCTCCGGAAAACTGATCCAGTGACACCGAGATTGGGTGCCTGACGCGAGGGAGCTCAGGAAGGAGAACGTAACCGACTCCTCAGAGGGAGCTGATAAAGCTTAAAAAAATCTGCCCTGTGCAGGACAGAAACTAAAACCTCTGGAACAGCCCAGCTGCCCTGCAGTCTACAGACACAGTTTGCTCTCATTCGAGGGGAGAGCAAAAATTTGGTCTTAAAGAATTTTTTATTTTTAAAACTTCTTCCAAAGTGCTTTCCAGATCTGATATCCACACCAGACTTCACTGGCTCCTTGTCACCTTCACTTGTGATAATGTGCTTGGACAACAAACAGCCTCTTTTAATGGAATTCCCTGCATAATGCTTTTGGTTAATGTTCAATCTCCAACAAAATTCACAAATGCATTTTGCTATTTAAGGCCCTAAACTTCTATATGCTTGTTGTTTTTTTTTTTTTTTCTGTTGTCAGTAGAAAGAATAAGAACAGTTAATACAAAATATCCCAGGCTGTAATTATGCAACTTCTGAAGTTAAGAAAGTAATTTTTGTGTATGTTCACCTAGGTGGCAATTTCTTTTAAAACCTGAAGCCATGACTCAAGGACTGTGAAATATTTTGATCTAGATATTGATCTCACCCTAAAATTTTAATGAATGCTAAGTGCATCCATGTGGGAAAGATTTTACAGTTCCCATTCACCCAGTAGGCAGTCTGACATTAAGAGGACTTGCTGTATGTCAGCATCTTAAAAGACACTCTCATATTTCATGTACTGTCAAGAGAAATGCTAGATGATTAATAATATGATTAGACCGGTATATTTTCATAGACATATTTCAAAGCTTTGCTATAAATAAACATCACTGGAAATACACTTTAATTTGCCTTTAGTTTGCTTGTACAATGACTGTACTTTGAAACAATAGATTGTTTCTAACCCTCAGACGTGGGCTCTGAGGGTATTGGAGAATTAGATGAAATGCAAGTTGCACCCAGAGCAAACAGGCCAAATTCCACCCACCATCCCAACACAGTGTCTGTACAATGCATGAATCCCCAGAGAAAATAGTCCAAAGATTCTGTTTTCTAAAATGCATTTTGTCTCTGATTTCAAACATACACCTTCACCTCAAAGCCCAGTGAAGGATGTCCTCGTAGCAGCCTCTGCCCTCCTGACTGTGGAGAGAGGAACCTGCTGAGCTGTGTGCTTGGGAAAGAGCAGCTACCAAACATCCCTTTGCCTTCTTCAGCCTGGGCAAAAGTTGTATTTAATTTCTACCACTAAAAAATTCATTTCCCAGGGAGCTCCATGGCACCTGGGCAGCATCTGAATGATCTATGGTGGGAAGACAGAAGCAGAAGCAGTGGCTTTGGTTACACTGAAACATTTGCATCACAGAGGTTTGAGCTTTTGTGCTTTCAGAGCCTTTTTCTTTACCCTTGAAAAGACAATTCAAAATCCAAGTATACATAAAAATTTGATCCACTGCTTCATGGGAAAACATTGGTCTAGCACTGAACTTCTAGAAAATCAAATTAAAAATTCAGGGATGGCTCTTCAGCACAGCATCTGAAGGTGATGGAGTGAGCACAGAGCAAACACTGAGGGCACACACATTCCCTCTCTTGATTCAGTGGTGAGCTGCCATTGCTGCAGAGGACTTACAGATGGATTTGACTGAGGTTTATTTGCAAACACACGTCCTCCCCTCCTGGCAGCAGTCCCGAGACACAAATCAGCCAGCCGGGAGGTGCCAGCACTGCCAGTCACACAGAGGAGATGAGTTCACTGCCAAGGCTTCAAATGGATAAATGCAGCCTCTCTGCAATTCCACATTTGAGAAAAGTCTGCTTGGAGAAATAAAAGTATCCCTGCAATGCTAACTGGGTCAAATCAAGGTAAAGGCAAAATTTAACAGCGTGTGCAATTTGGGGTCCTTTCAACTTCACAAAATGAAGGTTCTCTTCCTCTCTCCCCCCCTCCACTGTACATTTATCTAACAGTAAAGACTTTTAAGGACCTGAGTCTAGAGAATTATTTATACAAAACTCCTCTCAGTACACTGGATATATTTAACATTTATGCATTTTGTTAAAATGAGAAGAGAAAAAATAGATGTTGTTTTTATGTATCCCTGTAAGTTTGGCTTTTAAAATAAATTGCCATTTCAAAACATGTAGATACCTCAGCTAAAAGAGTTCTGGGAATCAGTATCTACTATCAACTTTATTTTTAGCTTTGCCTTTGAGTTTCACGTTGTTTGGGAAAAAACCCCAGAAGTTCCTTCTCCTCCCAATATACCCAGTGTTACACCGTACAATTTATAGCAACTCCAGATGGAAAAAACTTACTCTCGTTTGTTTGCTGGCATGAAGATAAATATAGTCCCCATTTCCGGAGAATTAAAAGCAACTATCCCTCTAAATGACAGCAATTTTCTATTAGAATTTCTTTTCCCTCACTTATCTGAAAGTTGCAGCTTCTTTTTACAAAGAATGATTAAAATGTTTAGTTTGAACACTCTCAAAATACCACACAGAATAAAATTGAAAAATTTTATTCAGAAACACAGGTAAAACACACAAGAATGTAAGTGCAGGAATTATAAGTTATTATATAAAAATGTATTGGATAAACGCAGTATATTCAGGTGCAATTCTGAACACAGGATTCATGAATGTGAGTCCCTATACAGTTTTTCTTCTATCAGCACTGGGGAAAGAGAGCTTTGCTAACATTTTTTAAAATTGACAGTAAGTATCACCTTGTCACACTGTCTCATGAGTAGATGTTACAAGCTAAAATAGTCCCACTGGATTTATTAGAGAAATTTATGCAATGAAGAATGTCCTAAATTAAATCTGACAGACCTTGAAATGAGAAATTAGAAAATGAAAGATATCATCTCTTTATACTTTGTAAAATAAGAGGCTCTTCGATGCTCGTGCCAGACATCCTTCCTGGTTCTGGAATTCTGTCTGAAAATGAAACACAGACAAAAATATTCTCATGCATCTGGAGGTCCAAGGTGCTCTTCTATTTGTCCAAGGTTATCTTCTACTATTATCAATGTTATTATTTATAATTATCAATTATCTACTATTGATGCACAATATCATCATACAGAACCAAGGCAATTTTACAAATAAATGTTTCCATGCAGCTTTAGGAGATAAAAGCTTTGCGTTACAAAGATTAGATTTCAGACAACTTCCAACTCAGCTGAAGTGAATGAGCAAAAGAAATACCATATTCCACACCTTTTATCAGGATCCCCAGTCTGCTGGAATACTCACACATCTAAATAAACAAGATGTTTTCTAAAGTGAAAAGGAAGTTATATGTTAAGCAGGAGACTTGGCAGGTTGAGTTTATGAATGGACTTGATTACCTGAATATGCAGCCTAATGGAAAGAGCTGGATAATTAGTATTTTAAACCTACTGCCTTTAGGTCTCCACTAACGTACTCCATAAACACAGGTAGAAAGTAATTGCAGAATACATTTATTTAGAGGTTCAAAGCCTTAAAAATTTTATGTTCTTGTTTAGTTCTAAAAGCAATGTGCTGTTGTGTCTTATGATTAATCCTGAGTTCTGTAACTAACTGTAATGAATTAAATCTCCATGTGAAGTTATATTGGAGTCAACAGGGCAGGGTGACACTGCAGAGTCGGTAGAAATAAAAGTATACTTTAAAATTCTCCTATACATTCAGTTTGTTTTGAAAATGGCGAAATTTCTGATATGAATAATAGTTTTATAACAAAGCAGAGCAGTTTATAGCGGTTTTAGCAGGGAAATTTTGTTTCTTCAGCGCCCTCTTCTGGCAGAATAAAAACATCATTGTCTCATTGAATTAACTGTTAAAAAACTGTTAGTGCATCTCACCCTTTTCAGATGTCAGTAAGATCTCAGGCTTCACACTTTTGAAATTTTTTGGATACAAACCAAACAGTTCATAGTATTAACAAGAGAGTAATAAATTCTTACATTAAAAAATGAAGCAATATGCCAAGCAGACTCTTTAAAGGAAAAAGCTGGACCAATGAACCTTTTCATTCTCTAGCTTAGGTGCTATTAATTGTAACCAGTCCAAAAGCAGACCAGAAAAGGCAAACAAGATTTAGCAGTGTTTATTACAGAGCAACGAACTTTGGGCTTAAGCTTTTGTGGCAAATAGGATATGAATTATGTTATCAGAAAAGGTTTATGCCCATGTAAAGAACTGAGAGCTAAAGAGTTAAGAACTTTCTATAGAAATTAGGTTAGAGGAGGTAAGAAACAGAGATATACCCACTATTTAATATATTTTATTGAGAATTTAGGTTAAAATATTGTATTAAACTCCCAATATAGTCAGACTGTCTCTAGCTGACCCTTTTCAGATTTGTAATAATATAAGAGAGTACAATTTGGCCAGTTGAACTTTTAGGGATATGGTAAAGCCATTTGGTGCCAGATGAAAGCAAGCATTCCTTGCACAGAGGAGGAGGTACATGGTGTCCAGCTGCATATTTATGCATGGTATAGGAAATCTAGTCACTGATAAAAGTGCTTCAAAAATGATATTGCACCCACCTTTTTGATTTCTCTCAGCAGGTGGTTTGCCAAGGTTCTGCTTTGGGTAAGTCAGCAAAGATGCTTTTGGAAGGATATTCTGGGTACTTTCTTCTTTACCACCATGTAAGAAATGAGAGAGAATTCCATACAGGAGAGGTCTGCTTAAGGGAGAAATTACAAAAGTAGCCTATAAAGTCTATGAAATATTGAGCATTAAAATATACAGCCTTCTCCCAGGACTTCTCAGATCTTAGTACTTACTTCTGCAATCTGTACTGACATCTTTAATGACTTAAAACACATCCAAGTATCATTAAATAAATAAGCACAGACCTAAGCTCCCCCTGAACACCAACACTGCCCCAAAAAGCTCAGACTAAGAGACACTGTCCACTGAACTCCAGCTCCCCTGGCAGGTGATGAACTGGAGTGTGTTTAGCACAGGAGCACAGATCCACATTCTCACTCATGGATCAGAAGGATCCACACACTCACAGGAGATCAGACTTTGGTGGACTATAGGCCAGTCCACCACGGTACATTTCAAACTTGGCTCTTCCTAAGCAGCTGACAGGTTCAGACAGCACAAGGTACAGACAATGCTGAACCTGTCTGAACCTGCTTCAGCCCTCAGGTCAGTAATGCAGTTTTTTATTGGAACATTCTGATTTTGTATCTAATCTCACAGTAATCTTTTTATTGCTCCGCACAGCAACTCCCAGATACGCAAAAAGCAGATCTACTTTCTGTAGAAAGCAGACTGTATTGGTAAGACAGCTGTGTTTTGGTGTGCAAGGGCACTATCTGGAAAATGCCACCATGTTGGCAGAATTCAGTGTTAGTTTGGAGTATGTCTGAAAATGGCCCCATGTTTGGCATCGTGAAGCTGAATTCAGCGTATTAGAACAGGCGTGGGATCAGCCATATTTCAGTTGGTGAGAATATTTAAATGCGATTTATAACTGCACTAAAGAGAAAAATATACTGGTATGCAGAATATAGAATATACTGTGCATTCCAAAATTCCATCTTACACTGATTTTCCACTTGCATCTTCAACTATATTCAGCTCTCTGGCAAGAAATTCTCTATCCAAGGGCACTTCAGGCTGGCCGGATTCTGGAAAACAAAATCCCTGAACCTTAAGACTGGTAAGAAAAATGTCACCAATTAGCAGAAGACTTCAAAAGATCAAGAGAGCAACCACCTCCCTTTTAGACTATTAATAACTATCAGTGTATTGTGATTCCAAGAAATTCAAGCATTAGGGATTCATACTGGTATAATTTACAATAGCACATTACAATTTGTATCTTCACTCCTAAATAATCTAAGAAGAATATTAAAGAAGTCTTACAGTGTAAAGATAAATTCATCAGGCAAACAGCTCTTTCTCTAAACTACTACTCTCTGGCATTTCAAGAAATTTGAGTTTGCAGGCTGTTACCAAGTTTTCTTGCTCTTGCATCAACTACTCTGTTAAACAATTTACCTCAGGGGTAAAGGAGCAGAGAGTAAGTTTTCTTGAAAACTATTGGAGTGATTTGGCTTAATGCTGCAAGTAGAGCTGTGGAGAGGCTGTTTGTACCGTGTTAATTCCCAAGAGAAGACAAGGTTATACAGCTTGTCACACTTACTAATTCAATAATATCAACAGAATTATTCATTCACCCAATCACTGATTACTGTTACAGCGATGACACAAATTCATTGCCAATACCTGCCGTCAACACAGATGCTGTGTATTTATACTTGTTGTACTCCAGGTATTCCCGAATGAGCTCGTTGATCAGGAGGTTCTCCCGGGACAGCGTCGGCCGCGGCTCGCTCTGGTCATCCAGGGCATTGAACACTTCAGCTCTGATCCTCGCTTTGATTTGGGCAAGAGCTCCTCTTTTTTCCAATGTGTCCTTTAAAACTATCACCATAAAAAGGGACGTTAAATTAAAGCCCAACGCATCAAGCAGCTGAATTAATTAGCCCCGATACAAACAGAGTTTTGGCGTGTGCCCAGTGCTATAGCGATAAGGCGCCAGCACCCACCACGCTGGTGGACCCAGGCACGTCACAGATAACAGCTAAGCCTTCAGAAAAGTCACAAGCACATATTTTTTTTTTTAGTCGCAAGCACACGTTCTGGAAATTTAAGAAGTAGGATGTTACTGCGCCAAGATGCGTTTAATACTGAAGTATACTGAAATACAATCCACAATACATGACGGGGGCAGCGCCGAGGGACGGGAGCCCCCATTAGCGCCCGCGGCAGCTCTGACACCCACCCGGGTGGCCGCGGAAGGTCCGGCCGCCCTCCCGACACATCCCCGGTCCCGGCCCCGGTCCCGGTCCCAACCTGCTTTGAGCTCCGCCACTGTCGCCATGGCCGCGCCGGGACCCGGATGGCGCAGCGCGCACTGCGCACGCGCGGGGCTGAGCCCCTGAGGGGACAGCGTGGGGCTGGGCGGGAGCTCCGTGAGGGGACAGCGGGGCTCCCACCCGGCCCCGCACAGAACGGGATCCCCGAGGGATACTTCTGCTGCCAGCGGCCCCAGGGAACCGGATCCCCAAGGGATCCCTCTGCTGCCAGCGGCCCAGGTCGTGCCGGGATAGAATAACCTGCATCAGCAGTGCCTCCGTGCTGCCCGGGCAGCTACCGCTCGGTGTCCTGCTGTGCCCGCCCGCAGTCCAGCCTCTTCAGCTGGGCCGAGTGCCAGGGTTGCCGCGCTTTCTCTGTATTTTCAGAGGCTGGCAAAGATCGGGGAAGGAAACATGGAAATGAGCGACAATTTTTCCCATGTGTGTTGCGGAGGAGTTTTGCACCGAGTCCCTAGCAGATGTACTGTTGAGTAAAAGGAGTCGCCAAAGCTGAGCTTCTTATGAAAAGGAGTTGCCAAAATGTAATTCTATACGGGATGTTTTGCAAGCCTGAGGATCCCTGGCATGTCTGGACGCTTGTGTGTGTGCTCCGTGTTGCTGGGATGAGTCAAGAGGGTTTATTTTGTCAATGCATGAAGTATTTCCCAAAGGAAATGCAGCTGGTGTGGGTGAACAAACTTGATTTGCTATTGTCTAGATGGAGCAGCCTGCTGGGGCTTGAAGGAAGATGTGAGTCGTCTTAGGCAGTAAAGACTAAGACAAGACTTAAGTGTGGGGGTTGGGGAGGTTGTTAGGATTGTTTTGTTTTTTTACATTTCCTCTCAAAGAGAATATTTATATGAGAGTCTTCCAGAGCATCTCTGATAGAGGTCAATAAATAAAATTTAGGAAAATCAGAAGTGATGGTGAAGTCAATGTGTTTCCTTAGCCCAGCAGTCACTGTCAGTGAGTCAGGGCAGTGCTTGTGCCTGGCCACCCTGAGCTTGCTGCCCGGATCCCCAGGGCGACTCCAGGGACAAACAGCTGCTTATGTTTAATGTTACAGCATTTTCACAGAATAAACATGTTTCTCTGCATCCTTCCAAACTTCTCCGTGACCTTGTGAGTCACTTTTCCATCACACCTGATTTCCCGTTGATAGTTGTTGCAGTTTTCCACACTGCTTCAATTTCCTATCCTACTTCAATTTGTACCCTACAAAAACAAAAAGCTCATATAGAATTTTGTGTGGTTCATTTTTCCGCTTGCAAGGGAATCTCCTTTTTAAACAAGATTTCAGTTTCTATTTCTTGTATTAATCTGTGATTTAAAAGATGCTGTTACAAGATTGGTTTGTGAAATCCATGTTCAGTGACTTCCTGGTACTCTGGGACCTTGGTTCTGTATTTCTGCAAGTTTGGCCTTGTGTTTGCTCTGGTTTTTCTCCTCCACAATAAATATTTTGAATCTGTTACATTTTTCTTCTGAACTCTTTTGGTTCCTCTCCCATTAATTATTTGCTCTGTATTTTGACTGTGCTTTGGTTTACAAGGAAATAGAATCAACTGGAAGAGAACTAGTTTATGGTGGAAATCCAAGAATCATTATTTGAGGAGAAACATCATTGACATGGAGCATGACAATTGGTGACATTAGGACAGTCTGGGGCTGAAAGAGAAGTATTTGGAATGTGAAACTTAAATTTTGTTAGTCTTTTAGCTTACAGTAATATCTTGAGAAAAACATATGTGAATAAAAATGTATCTCTCTAAACACTCCTCACTTCATGCTTATTTACTGTCTTGCTTATAAAAATAAAGGGAATCATACTTGAAAATTTAGCTGTTTTCTTGCAATACTATAAAGATTTTAACATGATATGAATTAAAGTATGGGTTAAACTGACAAGCTTCTGACACCCAATGCGTGTGTTTTGATCTTTCTGTGATAATTCTGCTCCATTCATCAATGCCAATGGGAGCTGGGTTGGGCTGGACTCAGCTGCTGCCGCTCTTTGACCTGACACCCTGAGAACGTGGGGTCCGGGGCACAGACCAGAAGTATTGCACTGCAGAAGTGTTGGATGGACAATCTGGCCACCACTAGCACAGCTCTGAAACTGCAGGTGAATAAAGAAGCAGTCTGTGATATATTTTCTGTGTGTATGATGCCTGTTTCTAAGTTATACGTTAAAATATACAAGACCTGTCTCTTTCTAACAACTTCGTCTGTTACCATAATTGCCCTGGATGGACAAGAGCATTTTAAATTGAAGTTGTGTGATTAAAGATTTCAGATGTTACTGTAGAGTACTATGTAACCACCCTGCTATTTCCTGCAGCATGTGATGCCATTCCTACATATGTACCACCATACTCCAGCTGGTCTATTCTGGTACAGTAGTCAGGCGAGCTGACTGTGGATTTAACTGGTGCATTTTAAATAGGATGTGAAGAGTGCATCGTGAGACACAACCCAGTGCAACCACAGGGCTGTGCAGTTAGCTCAACTACTACGTATTTTGATGCAAGCCTGATTGTGGATGAAGTTGTTTTGGTTCCGTTTGTGTTAGTGAACTTGAACTAGTTCAGGGCATTGAAACCAGTACAACTGGTTCACGCTGAGAAGTGAGCTATTTGAAGATGAGCTTAGGCTTTTCCTGAGGCCTTCCCCTAGGACCGTGCCTTGGCTCAGTCCCGCGGAGCCCGGCTGCCAGCAGGGCGCTGCGGTACCTGTCCTCGAGGGACACGCGGGGATCCTGTTCCCAGGCGGCAGTGCCACGGAGAGGGAGCTGCTGGCTCTGGTCCAGCCCGGCGGGCAGGTGCGGTGCGGGTGCGAGGCGCAGGATCCCGGAGGCTGCTGGGGCAGCTGACCCGGGCAGGCGGGCGCGCCTGCGGTGCTCCGGGGCAGCGATTCTGCCCGGGGTACGCTGCCGGGGCGCGGGGCATTTCTGCGTTGTACAAAGGCACGCGTCAGGCTCTGGCCGAGGCTCCTGGGCCCGTGGTGCTCCCCGATGCGGAGGCGTTGGTGGCCCCGCGGGACGCGCCCAGCCCGGCGTTGCGGGCGCTGCCCGGTGTCCGCACGCGGCGCTGAGCCCCCCTCCGCCGAGGCGGGGCTGCGCAGCGCGGGCGGCGGCGGCGCCGGGCTCCGATCCCCGTGACACGGAGCCAATCAGAGCTCCGAGCTGGCGCTGCCGGCCCGGCCCCGCTCGCAGCCGCTCGGGCAGGAGAGCTGTGGACGGGGAAACGCTGCCGCGGGAGCCCGGGGTCGCCTCGCCGCGCTTCATGGGGATCGAGAGCTTCTGCAGCGTGGACGCTTCCGAGCCCTTCTGGGTAAGCGGCGGGATGGGGCCTCGGCGGCTGCCGGTGTCGGCACGGAGGGATGGCGGGGAGCCGGGCGGGGCTGGGGTGGTGGCGGAGCCCGAGGGAGCTGCGTCCGGCAGCGGGGGAGCTGGAGCCTGCGGTGCAGGCGCTGCCCCGGGCAGAGCGCGGGGGCTGCGGTGCGCCCCGGCCGTGCGGAGTGGGAACACCGGCGCGGAGCGGCCGCGGGCCGGCGGAGGGGCCGGGCCGTGCCGGCTGCTCGTGGTCTCCGCCTGGGCGCGATGTCCCCATGGCCGGGTCACGGAGCGGGGGCCGGCGCGCCTCGTGTGCGGGGCTTCCGGCAGGGGGATGCTTGCATGGGGGGAACTGGCGAGGGGATGCCCGCCCGGGAGACTGGGAACGAGCTCCCGAGCGGCCGGAGCAGGTCTCTGCCCACGCGTTCGGCCGCTCGGCCGCGTTACTCGGGGCCGTGCGGGTAACAACAATAACGGTGTCTGACGGCTGCCGAAACACGACAACCGTGCCCGCTCTGGAGGAGGCCACGGAAGCGCTTTCTGCAGCTTTATCGCATGTTTGTACGGCAGTATTTTCGCTCTTCCTTAACGAAGAGCAGTGAGCGCAGGTGCTGTGGGTGAACTGAAAGGCAGCTGTGCACAGGTGAGCGATTTGGGGGTGTTGCGGTGGGGTCTCGCTCAGCTGAGACACGGCGTCCTGGGCACTCGGGACAGAAGGGCCAGAGTGAAAATTCATCTCGGGAGCAAACTGGTCGTATGTAGGAGGAGGTTGTGTGGAGGAAGGGAAGAACTGGAAGTTAGGAAAATAAACGTGGAGTGAGAGCTATTGAAGTGAACATAGGGAAATAAACTACTGTACTGTATGTATCAGACGTTTGCCAGATAGTTTTGAAGTAATGAACTGCCTTACTAGTGAGAAAATAGAATCAGATGTCTCAATAAATACCATTGTACTATTTATTGCAAGAATCATTAGGATATTAGAGTAGATGTTTTTAAAATCATCAAGACTAAGACAATGAGTTTTTTTGCAGCTGATCAAAAGTGACACTGCTAACTTGCTTTTATATTGCTTATACTAATATCTCTTTTCTGCTATTTCTCAGGTTTTTCAGAACTGGCTAAATTATGAGTTGTCATTTTACATATTTTTTTACTTTTCCCTATAATGAGACTTTTAATTTGAAGGGCTTAAGAGAATACATATTTCAGAAAATGTTTCAACACATATTTCAGAGTTTATGGAAAAACTGACTCCAGAGAGTAGTAGGATTGTGAAAAAGAGCTGCCAGCTCATTCTTTGAGCTGTGGAATTGTAACATAAGGTGGACACAAGAACTACATATAGGATGTTAGAAGCAACTGGTTTATATAGGCTTGCTGACAGCAGATTATTTTATTAGGAAAACTGTTCTCATGTGTATTCCAGCCATTTCTGGTGTTTTTGTAAAAACTATCCCATACATTTTTTCCACTAGTTGCATTGGTTCTCAGTGTTTTGGGATTTGTCATCCTTCTCTAGATCACATGGTCTCTGCCTTTCATTTCTTCCAACTAAAGATCCTGTGGGTGTGGTTGTTTGATTTCTGGGTTCTTCTGATCCTGTGGAAGAATAATTGTGCATTTGAGTGAGGGTTAGATGTGCCTGGAAAAATCTTCCTTCATGCTGAACTTGTCTTCATAAGTAACGCTCTGTTTCCGCTTTGTTGTTGCATCATTCCCAGCAGGAAGAGTAGAAATGCCAGTTTGGGTGCTTG